CACGGTAGAACAGCAGGACTTAGCCATAGAAGAAGCAGTCGGTCAGGACGATTTTCTAATAGTCCTGCAGTTTTTCAGCTACGTTCCCGACAACAGGCCATCCATCCACTGCGGGTTACCTTTCTATCACCGGTATGCCGGCTTACCAGTTGAACGTTCTAGCATTGTGGCTGCGCTGTGCCACCTCCAGATTTTCTCAAACCTTCATCTCCTAATGCCGGAAGCTGCTTTTATTTCGCAAGATAGCCGATGGGTGCTGGTTTTGTTGAGACAGTATATATATATATATATACATTAATTTCAATGCTATCTTCACGGCGGTATCCTCATGGATGGCCGGTAGAATGGTTGGCGGGTGCCAGCGGGCCATGCTCCGTAAGTCTGGTTATCGAAAAGTCGACATCGCTGCCACATTAACGCGGCGTTAACTGTTTGCTTTAAATTCTGCGATAACGTCGTAAAAAAACGTGGAATGACTTTCCAGGCGAATAAAATCACTTTGATCCCCTTCGCCTTAAAGGGCGGTGGGAAGAGCAGAACAGCGCGGGATACAGGGATCACTGCGTGGTCAGGGGCGATGTGTCCAAAGACAATGTTAAGAAGCCCCAAATACACGACAGTGCCTGAAACTAATCAGACAGGGCTGCAGCCCTTTAGCGAACAACGGGGGAAACGGAAAGCATCGAACTAATTGAGATTTAATGGATGAGGCTCTGGGGGAAAGCAAGCTTCGGAGAGAATCTTATTAAAAAGATTCATTGGGACGAGTTCACGTTTTGCACGGCGGCGGTTACAGCGGCGCTTAGAAAGAAACCTCCTCCAACAAAATGAACGGACAGAGAAAAAAGATTTCATCAAAGATATGGCATCAGCCGGCAATTTCTCCAGAGAATTAATTCTGCTTCTAAAGTTTGAATGATCGCGCTATCGAACGCCTGCTTCTTCACCCGCCGACTATTTGCTATGGTTAGAAGTCTGTTTGCCGATGTTCTTACTCCGGTGATTAGATACCAACTACTCAAAATTCCCAATGGGCCAACGAACTTGTAGACCCATAATCGACTCAATCGGCCGTGCAGTGAATGAGTAAAGGCGTTCACTATAAAAAGACTTCGTTCCCAACCGAATCGGAGCGCGCAGATGCGCGTTTTCACTTTCAGAAGAAGAGGATTCGTACAGATTTTACCGCGTAAATTTATCGTCAGGTGAGAGAACAAAAGGGGGAGAGAGAGAAAGAAAGGGTTAAAAAATGAGGGGCATGCCTAATAAATTTCGATCCTAGCTTAATACTAATCAAAGGGTTAGGGAAAATTTTTGGAGCCAACGTTTTGTCGCGCCCACGCAAATATCTTACTGCAACCACAAACAGCCAATGAATAATAATAACAATTTACGTCACGCCATCAAGTAGGGCATTTCATCAGTTAAGAGTAAAGTCAAGTATCGCACAGTCGATTTTTTCCACGAGCGATATACCTATGCACGCTCAAAGGGCGCTATCTTCGATTTACGTCCACAGCGAAGATAGGGTCCGGCAGGATAGACGGCGGAGACCAAGCGCGGTTGCAAGCGGCAAGTTCATTAATATGGAACTTCATTCATGCTGATTCCTACCCGAGCACCCATAAATTTGGATGTAGCACTTCGATTCGCGCTCTAAATGAAAGTGTTTTGGGCAGCACTACAGGCTCGAATCTAATCTGAGACGTTCCGAGGTAATTTCGAGACATGTTGATACATCTTTGTATCGTACATATCGTAGATACACGTAACTGCGTTCTAATTATGCTAATTATTATTTTTTTTTTAACACAGCCCTAGATCACGCGGATCAGAAAACCACAATCTAGTCACGCGTACGTGTGTCGTGAAGACAATTCAGAAAATGAATGATCGTCGTATCCCGTTGTTGCTCGAATTTGTAACTTGGTCATACCTAGTGTATGATGCCTTATTGGTAAATAAGATCATTTAGACTGTTTGAATGGATCGAGGAACAGACTGTGGGGAAAAAATATGAGACAAGGTTTTTACTGATCATTATGAGGACCTCAGTGCTTGATGATGACCGACGTTTTTTAGCACATCGACTCGGAGCACCTAGAAAACAGAAGTCGGTCAGGTTTGAGATGTCCTGGAAACAGGCTTACTGGACGGTATTTCGGCACAGGGCCTGTATGAACTCAAAGCCGACAACGTCACAGTAAGCAATTCACCAGTAAATGAATTCGTATCAGTAGCGTTACGCGGCAGTACGTATTACTCGTTCATGTGCTTTCTATAAACTTATAGTTAGATACTGAAAACTTTAGTTCAAGTGGCAAGTTACCTTTCTGATATTCTTCACAACTAATATTTTACAACGATAAGGAAGTAAATGTTCAATGACCTTTTCAATGATGCTCGGTAAACAAAAATGATTAAATTTCACGTAATCGACAAGCTAGCTACCTAAAGTTAGTGGAAAGTGGATCTAGAGCCCTAAAAGTTGTGCGATGTCAAATGCTTAGTAGTATTGCAATACCTAGCACAACTGATAAAAGAGGTCTGCTTGCTAAACGTATACGTGTTGACGTCCGTTTACGTGGCGCCGGTACAAATGTCTTAATGTATTTTCACGCACTGCTATCGTCCCTGAGTTCAACGGCAAATTATAATAATTAGAAACCAGTCGATGCCAATCGCGTGCTCATATGGAGCTCAGACCCTAAATCAGGTATCTCTGTGATACGTGCCGATGACGACCAAACTATCAGCATTTCGATAGGTATAGCAACTGCGGCTATGATGTATAGCATTGTTCAGGTTATCCGGGTGGTGCTATCAAAATGTGATTATATTACGTATAAAAAAAATGTAATAAAAAAACATTATAAGGTGTAAAGGACTTATCTTCACGACGTTAGGTCAGCCGAGTCGATGCGATCAAGATTAGACATCGCAATGTAGGTAACTAGCTTTGATGTCCATTGAGCTACATATAACTAACATATAGCTATCAACATTAATTCAATTGATTGCATAACAAGGCGTTCGTCTCATACGAGAGCTGCAAGTATCTTCAACGGGAGCCTACATAACAATTACAAAATTGTATTTCAGAGCCTCTTTTGTTATATGGCACATATATCGGAGGAGGCCGAACCCCGTTGGTAGCAGTCAGCAGGTCATGAAGCGTTGAATACTACTATTTATTATAGAAGACGACGAAGCTACAATCGTTTGTTAATATTATTCTCGATAATACCTTGATACAGCCAGCAAACCCAACTTGTCCCACCGAATCACTGCTGCTTGGATCACCGAAAGCACGAAAATAATGGTATCATCATCAATCACAACTCTGTCACATGAATTCTCCTCACTGGCTGAGCCCGAAGAGATGGCAGCTTTACCGATGACCCGTAGCTGAAGCCTTTCACTGTGCTTCACTGCCCCCTGACAACATCAAATTGACCCTTTATTTCATTGGTATTCGTTTCATAATCTCCAGGATACCAATCAGCCACTAAATGGATTGGCATTGATCAGAGTGAATAAGCTGTTAGCTGACTGGATACATTCTGTCTGAAACATATCTCTTCGTGAGAGCATTGCTTCGGCCTGCTAGTTAGCTTGCAGTTACAAGAAAAAAAGCTCGATTGGTAAACCATAATCGTTTGTGAGGGGTAAAGGAATCCTCTGGTGACGGTAATACCGTTGTGGAATACTTGGCTGCCAATTGAATTGGTCATATCTTCCAAATTATCATCTACGTACCTTGTGGACTAAATGATATCATACCTCATTCAGGTACTCAAAAGATATGTCTACTTCTCTCTGTTGCTAGACGTGTAAATTACTAGGCCTGCTCAAATGTTTCTGAATGCATTATTGAATGCCGGGTATAAATCAATGAGTATCTAAAATGGCCTTAGGCGTTCCGAAGGTGGTTTTGCGGTAACTGACACGGTTTCATGTTATCCCGGTTATGCTTATACAGCTTCCTCTCACATATAGATATTTGTATATAGTTATATGTGTTTGTATATATATAAACATATGTTTAGTCTCAAGTTGTATTTTGTCATAGTATACACTTCTATTCGTATTGTTATTAAATGATAATAGATAATTGCTCCAATTGCGGTGGCTGACACAGTTTCTCTAATAAGAGTGTTTTGTTTCTCCGTTTTACTAGAACGCTCAGCTACACGAGGAAGTCAAGTTTAATTCTGTTTATATAGACTATGCCTTGCACATGTAGAAATATATTCATATATGTTTGATTGAACTCGGTATATATACAACGTATATATATCGAAAATGGTGAAGCCCTTTATAGATTCATTGTTTTATCTACATGTGAACGACGACCTTTCAAGATTGAAATTATTGTTAATAATATTTCTGTGCCGTCCTTGCATACCGATTAGAGAGAGATGTGTGTTTTCTGCCTCCGCAGAATTAGATTTGCCTGGATTAGGTCTCGTCGCCCGACTCAGTGCCTCATAGCGGTTCCGAACACCAAACTAGAGTCATTTATTTATTAGCTTAGCTCAGAACGCTGAAAAGTTTCGGGTCATTTTAGTGTCGAGGTTCTCAGTGGACCCATTTACTTGGCTTGATAAATCTATTATTTGGTGACACCACGCAGCTAGCTTAAGCCTGTCGAGATGCTTGCAGGTTCGTATGCCGTACGGATGTCAACCAGTCATTGTTCTATTGCCTCTGACATAGTTTGCAAAAATTGATGAGTCAATATATCGTATCATTTTGTAACAGTCCGTCTAATTAGATATAAATAGACCTACGCGAGATTAGCTAACTTCGAGCCTGGGGCGATTCTCGATTTTTCGCGAAGCTCTGAAAGAAGATCGTTTTCGTATACAAACTGAATACTTTTTTCCTTTATAACCACAAAATATCGTTATGTCAAGACTGACCGCCATTTAGCGTAAGACTAAATGCAGTTTTAGCCATCATTAATCTTAACGAATCCCTCGTTTGTCTACACTCACCGTAAAATAGTTCGAGCACTCCGAAGGGCATGACCGCGAGGCACACCATCAGATCAGCAAGAGCTAAAGAGACGAGAAAGAAATTGGTGACGTTGTGAAGGCGTCGTTCCTGCCAGACGGCAATGCAGACAAGACTATTGCCGAGCACGCCGGCCAACGGGATCACTAGCAAGACCAACGCTAGCCAGTGATATTGCGGTGGTTCAAGGTACTCCTTCGACACCTGATCATTGAGTAAGCACGCTTCGACCAGTTCGTTCGTAATGGGTAGGGGAAACCTCGTTAGGTTGCCTTCCCATTCTATGAGTAGATCGCACCAGGCGTCTGTGCCTGGCGAAGGGCGTAGCGATGGCGGAGGGTCCGTAACCAACGTGACGACGTCCATCGTGTCACGCAACGGTGGGAAGACCAGAACCGCCGAGGGCGGGAATAATGATGGGACCCAGGGTCCTTCTCTCATCTCATCGCTGCCGAAACGCGTTAGAAATTCGGCGAAGCACAGACGCGATGAACGGCGGAAATGACGAAAGCGATAACTCTGTGGAATAGCTGGAAAAGGGACAGCCAGTAACTTCGTTACGAGTTAACGCCGGTGATGGCTGATGATGACAAGGTTTGACGATGGCCAATGGTAATAGTAATAGCAAGGCATAGCGAAAACACTGTCCAGCTGATCGCACAGCGAGTCGTGAGCCAGTACTATTCCATACGCTGCTAACAAACAGTGGACTTGTTGTTGTTGTTGTTGTTGTTGTTGTTGTTGTGGCCTTTGCTGCTAGCATCATTATCATCGGATTACGATGAAAACTGAAGAACATTTTTTTCTCAATGATCCTCCTTGGAAGATAACTGCTATCGTAGCTAACGTTGTTGTTCAAGACTAGAACATCTTGTTTTGGAGCACATTTAGCGAGGGATTGGCGCAGTGTTTCGTTCGTAATAATCTTTAGGATTCTTGCAGCCCAAGCGGCGTTGATGCTCGCATGGTTTAAATGAATATGTCGATCTGGATATTTCCTAACTACACGCAATGCACAAATACACAATGAGCACACTACCTCACTGATGATAACAGAAGCAGTCGTACATATGTGCCACAAAAGCTCCCTTCTACCAGCTTCTCACAGATCTACATAGAGACATTGACATATTGAAACTGGCTTTCATTGATGTACGTATGAGGTACACACGTTCAGCTAAGACACAAATCACTCGACACGACTACCCAATACAGGGGCACCGTTACACGTTCTTTTGATTTCGATATAAGAGCGATCTCACTATACGTCGCACTCACATTGCTGTTTCCAGGTTTTGCTCCGCTGTGTTTTTTCTATTATGTAGCTTTACAGCAGGAATAGCGTCTCGGACGAGCATCGTTGAACGTGGCACCCGGAAAGCGTCTGTTACCAGCAAAAAGACACGAGACCACGTGCAGCGGAAAGGGATGCGAGCTACCGGGAGAGGACTCGAGGGAGGGCTTGGGCCTGTAGGACCGCCTCCTTAGTCCTGTGTACGGCAGTATACAGCGGTATAGCGGCTTTGGAGAAACGGAAAACGCAAAGCCGTGGACAGTTCCGACTGCAACTGTTGAACCGTGTCGAACATGGTGATGACAGTCGACGCAGATGGGCAACTAATCGCGAAAAATGCTTTCGAGCTTTTGTCTCCTCGGTCCCCTGTTTTCAGCGAGTAAATCAAATGTCAGTGGTCGGCTTTCGTCATACTGCTACCCCTACGTTATACTTTAGTGAATCGTTTTTATTTTAATCCAATAAAACTCTACAAACCCCAGCTGAATCGATACAAGCTGTTCCATTTATGACAAGACGCTATTGGTGTGCCTTCTATTTAACCTCTACTAGTAGGGTAAGAATAAATCCGTGTAGTTCTGTTGTACGCTGTTTAGGACTAATTTATGATAATACATGTATTGTTAGGTCGTCCAGAGCTATTTAGTGGGTCAAGGAACTTGAGTAACTTTTAATTTATTGTTTACATTTTGAAAGCAGTACTTTGGCAGCTTTTCATTAGTTGTGTAACCCTACCATACCTAATATAAGGCACCGCTGCCTCATTGAGAACGCGAATTTTCCCGAATCATCGACAAATCCCATTAGCATTTTCGATTTTAAAAAATCAAATTATAATTAAGATAACCCCTCAGCGTCGACTTAGCTTGCCAGACAATATCTCTGCCTTTGAACTTATTAGAATATGGTGGCACTCTATCGATTTACAGTTTCAGCTAGGTCCATTGAATAGCTCAGAACAAGCAATTGTATCCCAACACTAATTGTTGCCTTTTCGAAATCACCTTTTTCGAAAAGCTGGCACCAAAAACGTAAGGCTATCCTGAAAATACTGATTTTGTCAATTATTGTTTTATAAGGAAAAAATAGTTATAATTGCGTCAATCTTAATTTTCTTATGCTGATGCAACAGGCTATAACTTCATCTAAAAACGGGAAGTGATTTATATTGCGTCCTTACCTTTTCGATTATACTGCAAACACAATTAATCATCAAACTACTATATGCATGTATTGTAAAATCGTTTATTATCCTATTTACGTAACAGGCTTGAGAGGTTGACTTTTTGCAATTCTATTATTTTTCTTGCTCTATGTGAAATGCTATCCCGTATGACCGATTCGAAAGCAGCTGTGTATACCTCGCCGTTTCGCGTATTTTTCTTTTATAATAGCGATTCGTTTTACGTTATATTTCGTGCTGTTTTGCGTGATTCGTTTCACATCGTATGATTATGAGCTAGACAAATTTCTCCTAAGCAAATTTACGAAGAAAGCGAAGCCAATTAGGCTAAAAGAATTTAGTTTTCTCTTCCTGTTCGCTGTTATTAACTGCAGTTGACGCTCTTTGTCCCGTTCCGTTAGGGCTTCCTTCAGACGAGCAGCGCGGATCGCCTAGTGATTGCGGAAGACCGGCCTCGATAAGCAGAGGCCACAGTCAACAACACAATGGAACGTCGTAGTCTGTTAAAAATAAAATGTTGAATTTTGTTGAAGACGGTTAGGGTGCGAGTCGACAGACGTAAGCGAGCTTTAAACTTGCGTATTTCAGATTTCAGTGCCAGGGCCCAGTACCGTTACTACGGTACTTGTCGGCAGTCGATACGAAAAAGAGTCGGTCTGCTTGCACTTTCACATGATGTTTAGAAAAGCCTCATGAGGAACCGGCCGAGTACGGCAATGTTCAAAACGAACTAACCGACTTCGCGACCGCCTTCAACCATGGCGAGACACACAGCGTACGCTTGATATAAGGCATATGTTTTCGAGGGCAGAAATGTTTGTTCGCTCCAGAGTAGTTGAGGAGATGGGGTAACAGGTGGGATGGACGCGTTCTGGACCACTGCACCGTAATTCGGAGTATTGCAGCGCGTAACCAGAAGGGAACGTTCGACAAGTAGAGCTCGCCTTATGTGGCAGGCAATCCGCAGCAGTGAATCCATTCTTCAGTTTCCTTTCGAAAATGTCAGCTTCTCGGTGCAGAACGCTCTTTCGAAAAGAGAAAAATCCAATAGTTGGATCTAGGAAAATCCAAGGTTGTCTTCTCCACCTATGAACGGTAGACTAATCAAATGATGTGTTTTAGTGTTATTTCTCTATATCGTTGCGCCTAATTCATCAGTAGTAAAATGAAAACTGGCTTTATATTAATATGGAAGCGAATTTTATTGGCGGGTGTGACATGTACCGTCAATAAAACTATAAGTCTGAATATCCTTGTAGACCGCGTGCGTTTCGTAAGTAGCGGCATATACTAGTAAAAAAAAACATCAAAAAAAAACATACCTAACGTAGTTAGGAGACTAACTAAGTCTCCTAATACTAAGGAGACTTAGTTAGTTGAAGTCTATTCCGTCTTGCAGTATGGGGGAAGCAAGAGTTTACATATATGTGTCTCTAATCTCGAAAACTACTTTGTCGATGTTTGTAAGCTTACCTGTGTATTTTACATTTGGAGTAAATATAAAATTATGAAGCCGTTCCCGTAGGTTCTAACACTGCCGAATTTTGTTTCTTTGAAGTAGGCCTTTAGTTGCTCAGTTTTTACAAAGGTTATATATATATATATATATATCTATATATATATATATATATATCAAGAGCAGATTTGACAGCCAAAACGAGGTGAAGACAGTCGGCGGTCTCGTTGGCTTTCGTCGGGCACCACCATTCATTTTATTCAAGACTTGTCTCATGCTGTCTTTTGTTTCTTTCGTTCGACCTCAGGCACAGTTGCGCCAAAATACGACCAAATCCCTGAATCAAGCCACTAGGCTTAGTTACTTCTTGTCCCACTCTGTATCACGACGATAATGACCTACGGGAACCTGAAGTACCTTTTAGATCAACTACCTATCGTACTTGTGTACGCTCCAGTAAACCCGTTGTGCTAAAGACCTTGTCAAGACATCACTCTCTGTTAAATTCTCTCTGCATTCTACTTACAATAGAGATATCGATGCTCTAGTTCGATTCGTAATCTTCTTGTCGAAGGTCATTAATTGAAAACTATTATATTCACAGAAGGACGTCGACGGGCTGTATATAAAGAGGTGATACCATGTACCCGTATGCGTTGGCCGCACGCGGAAACTGACAACGAGAAAGGTACGACAGGGCAGTTCATTCATTTATATAGAGGGAAAGATAAGGCTACATGGAGCAGCGGCCGTGTGGATCGTTTCTGTTTTTTCTAGCAGGGGAACGTCGATTTAAAATTTCCTAGTGTCAAACTTTTGGATTTTTGCTTAAATACACACAGGTGAGAAAGGTAGTGCTTTACGCATTGGTGGATTTTTATCTTTGACTGAATCGCGAAAGGTTACGTAGGTACTTTGTTATAATTTCGTCAAACTTTTTTGGATCATGAAGGGACATTTGATTTTCTACCACGATTTCCCCCAAAATTTAAAAGTTAAAAGATGACTCGAAATCAAGTAACGGTGTATAGCAGTCATCGCTACGTATAATAACTGTATGGAAGATAACCTTTGTCTAGAGACGTCAAGGAACGAACATGCCAGATCGTGAATTTAAGGTGGGTTTCCAGCATTGCCGAATGCCGGCAGCTGCCTTCTAAAAAATTGTAATTTATGTTGTACTAAATCCCTTGAGCTGAATTGATCGTAGCCCAAAATATAAGTATATCATCCTCTGATAGTCGCGTTTAAGGAGCCACTCAATAGCAAATTGTTAAATTCACGCACTATTATACACTCAGGACCTTTGTCCATACGAATGCGCAGTATCACACGGTTGGCAACAACAGCCGAACATAGAAAAAAGAAAAACAAATCGCCGAAATTGCACCGCTTAGTAATCGATTGTAGAGAGAGACACGCAATCCCGTGACACATACACGTGTAGTTCCGGTCACATACATAGACGGCGGCCAAGAAGTGGCATAGCTGGTAATGCAGGTTCGGTTGAAATTAATTATTATTATAATTATAATTGTTAATACAAAATTAAGAATGTCGAAAGAAAAATCAGAAAGGGTCAACTTGAGTACTCGAAAGAGCCGGCCTAAATTGCACTGCCCTGTATGCGTCCATATATAAGGGAAACTCCTCGTTTTGAGGGTCTGATAGCGCAAGAGTCGTCGGCTTCCACACTAAAGTAGATCAACAACGACTCTAAGCGAACCAATGCATTGTTAACATCATCCAGCCTTCTAAGTCGCAACGTTTCACGGACAGCATTGTTCCAAAACCACCTTTGCATCAATCGACGTCACCACGATGTATCAGACAACAATTCCCGCTTACAGGCACAAACTGCTAAACGATAACGCGCTTTTTCGTACATTATAGATTCTATCGTCACAGCCTGATTCCAACCTGGATACGTACTTGCTGTGGTCGCTTGACAGATATGGTCCTTGGCCCAACCTCACGAACTTTGCTTTGGCAGGCGCTGGTTTTAAAAAATTTGCCATACTGCTCGCCGAACTTAACGAAGCGAATCTCTACCCTGGAACTATACCTTTTACCATGACATAACTGTGT